TACTTCTGCCCAGCACATTGGACGGCAGTGTTTCCGTTCTGTGCTGACCTCATAGTCAATAGCTGGGTGGACTTAATACAGGTGAATACATGGTTTCCAATAGCTCATGGATCTTCATTTCCAAGACCATCAACAGACCCTAGGTTCCAAGGTCACCAGCCCAAGCACCAGTGACCCTGGGCACTTAGCTGTTTCCTGGCGACTGGCAAAGATCAGGACAGGCAAGCAGGGTTGGGAGGCTGGGAAGGTCAAGATTAGGCATGAGTGTCTGTTGGCTCTGTCTGCCATGGTGGAGACTGGGAGCTACCTCCATAATCCATTGTCCTAGCCGGTCATGCCAAAGTGTTGTGGCTGAAAGGGCTGTATCCCCCCCCCCCCACCTCAGCCCACCACCACTTACTTAGAGTGGCTGAATCCTCTGGTGGAGCTTGGGCGGGAGGGCCACGTGTCATCATCAGGCCAGCAGCCTGTACCATACATGCTCACCACCCCTCTGGGATCCATGAATTTCAGGGCCTCGTGTGCTGAGCGTTGATCCCTGTTTTGTTTTTTTGTTTGTTTGTTTGTTTGTTTGTTTGTTTTGGGTACAGGAAGCATGTGAGGCTGGTGCACTGGACAAGGTGGTGAGGCCCAGAAACGGACAACCCCTCAATGTCGCTAGCTCTCAAAGCAAGGATGGATGGGGCATCAGAGGACCATGTCCTGTGCCCGTCAGCGGGAAACTGAGGCACAGTCTATGTCGCCTCCCCGAGGTCCAGGAGGTGGGGGGAGTTAAGCTCCAGACGCCCTCAGCAGGAGCTCCCTAGACCCTCTTCCCTTTGCTGCTCTTTCCTTCCCATCCCCTCCCTCCTTCCCCCATCACTATCCATGTGTCCTGAACAATCTACCGGAACCTGAGTCCTTGCGTCCACACCGGCTTTATGAGGGACCAAACCCAGACAACTCCCCTGCCCATCGAGACCCACAGAAACCACGCTTCAGCCAAGTACAGGTTGACCATCTCCTAGGGTAGGGCAGAAATCTGGGTCCCTGAGTGGTGGTAAGGAGGAGGCACCCAACTCTGAACCCAACATGCGAGACGACCACCTCTCTTCTCAAGCCAGTTTGTTGGGCTTCTTGGTGCCACAGCTTTGCATTGTCTATTCCAGGGTCCTATCTGTGTCCTCCTGGTCACAGCAGAAGACAGAGGGTAGCTGGGCAACTCACTGCACCCTATACAAGGGAGGCAGGAGCCCGTGGCTCCGGTCTGGGCTGAGAAGGTCTCCCAGGGCTCAGCCATGGTTCAGGGTGGGCTCAGACAGCCCTTCTGTGGGGCTCCTGCACTGTGGGACGTGAGTCTAGGGCCGTGGGAGGCCATCCCAGCTCCACTGGAGCTTGCCTGAGCAAGACGCCTATGTGGAGATACAGAGCTAAAAGAAGGAAAGATAGGTAGGAGATGAATTTTTTAGGACTTATTTATTTGCAAGGCAGAGTTACAGAGAGAGAGAGATCTTCCATCTGCTGGTTCACCCACTAAATGGCTGCAGTGGGCAGGGCTGGGACAGGCCAAAGCCAGGGGCCAGGAGCTTCTTCTGGGTCTCCCACTCGATGCAGGGGCCCAAGAACTTGGGTCATCTTCTGCTGCTTTCCCCAGGTGCATTAGCAGGGAGCTGGACCAGACATGGAGCAGCCGGGACTCAAACCCATGCTCAGACGGTGGCTTAACCCACTGTGCCACAACGCTGGTCCCCGGGTGGTGACGTGTTTTCAAGCATTAGACCTGCCACCCTTGAAATGGAAACAACCCAGCCGGCGCCGCAGCTCACTAGACTAATCCTCTGCCTTGTGGTGCCGGCACACCGGGTTCTAGTCCCGGTTGGGGCGCCGGATTCTGTCCCGGTTGCCCCTCTTCCAGGGTAGCTCTCTGCTATGCCCAGGGAGTGCAGTGGAGGATGGCCCAAGTGCTTGGGCCCTGCACCCCATGGGAGACCAGGAGAAGCATCTGGCTCCTGCCATCGGATCAGCGCGGTGCGCCAGCCGCAGCAGCCATTGCGCCAGCCGCAGCGGCCATTGGAGGGTGAACCCACGGTAAAGGAAGACCTTTCTCCTTGTCTCTCTCTCTCTCAGTGTCCACTCTGCCTGTCAAAAATAAAAAGAAATGGGAACAACCCTAGACTTCCCAGCCAACATATCCCCTTCTCTGTAAAGCCCTGTGAAGCTGGGTTTCTGTCACTTGCAAGCAGTAAAGCTGTGTTTAGTAGCAATCTGACCTGAAATCGAACACTCCCCTGCGGGCAGTTCCCTGCAGCCAGCACCACCCACACTCCTTTCCAGGAAAGCTCCTTTTTGCTGTGGCTTCGGCACCCAGATACCCGAGGAGGAAGCAAATCAGTGGCTGCCTCGCCTCCCCCCTCTGTGACAGATGCAAGGACAGCAATGATGTGTCCTCCGAAGCCAACTCCCTCAGCACTGGCTCTGTCCCAGTGCACTGGAGCTCCAAGTTCAACTCTTGCCGCAGCTGCAGCCGACCCCGCGGCTCATGCCCGCGCACAGTAGTGTACACTGTGTGGTGCTGTAGGCTTACACCCCCGCCCGAGCCGCAGAGCAGAGCCCACCAGGCCTGCAGGCTGAGCCTCGACTGTCACAGGAGCCCAGGGTGAGGACCCCCAAAGGCAGCCCAGCCCCATCCCTGCCTCAGTGTGGTCACTTGACCCTGAGGCCTTAGCCTTCCTAATCTGAAGGCAGGGTAGAGAGAGAAAGGAAAAGGACTTGGGGTCTGACCCGGGATTCCTGGCCTCTTCCCCTGGACTCCAGCCAGCCGTCTCTGGGTCACCTCGTGTGCCCACGGGGGGCAGGGCTGCGGACCCCCAGGAGTGCTCCGTGAATTGGTCCAGAGAATGGGCAGGGAGAGGTGGCCAGTTCGGGCCTGGGTTGGTTCCCTTCCTTCTGAAAGAAAAGCACTGATTGGGAAGAGAAAAACCAGCTCAAGCTGTAGCACATCCCCTACGATGTCCGTCCACATCTTGGCATGAGAACTGGTTCACCATGCAGGAGAGGAGAGGTAAGGCCAGAGGACGGTGGAGGGGAAGGCTGGAGGCGTGAGGGCAGAAGGAGGAAGGAAGGGAACCGGCACCGTCTCCCTGGCCCAGAGAGGCCCTCTGCCCGTACGTCCTGTACAAGTCACGCAGCGTCCGCTCCCGGACCCGACCAGGGCAGCACCACTCGGCCTCCAAGCATTCTGGGCCCTTCCTGCTGCCCCTCCAGCCAAGCGAGAACCAGGGAAACCACGTCACTGTCTCTGTCCCTGTCCCGTGGCCGCTGTCTCCCATTTGCCCTATCTTGTCTCAGGGTGGGGCTGCCTGTTACCCTTCCTTGTCTCTGGGGCAGGTCTCACAGGTGAGCAGAGGGAGCCTTGCCAAGGGTCACCGCACTCAGCAGCCACCGCCCCGAGGGAAACTCCTGAGGGCTGTGGCTGTGGCTGTGGCTCCTGCAAGTGCACTCTGTGCTCTGGCGAGAGCTCCTCCCGCTCCTGCTCCAGGCTTTGCTGCATGCCTCACCCAGGGCCGGAATCCAACTCCAGAGCCAACGCAGGGCCCTGAGCACGTCCTGGCCTCAGACAGCTCTGCAGGAAGCCGGAGGTCAGGGCTGTGAGCTCCCTGCTCTGCCTCTGCCCACCAGCCTGCTGCTCAGTGCTATTTCTTCCCACCAGGGAAACCCATGCAGCTTTTTTTTTTCTTATTTTTTAAGATGTATTTTTTATTTATTTGAAAGGTAGGCTTATAGAGAAAGAGAGAGAGAGAATCTTCCATTCACTGGTTCACTCCCCAATGGCTGCATGGGCCAGACAGAAACCAAGAGCCAGGAGCCAGGAGCTTCTTCTGGGTCTCCCACGTGGGTGCAAGGGCCCAAGCACTTGGACCATCTTCTACCGCTTTTCCAGGCGCATTAGCAGGGAGCTGGATCAGACTGGCATCACAGGCTGAGACTTAATCTGCTACACACAACACCGGCCCCACAGCTTTTTCACAATACACATTTTCCATGAACTTTTTGAAGGCCCCATGTATGCATGGATTTCAAACAACTCGTACCAAAACAAATCTTTCACTTCCATTTGTTACGAGCTTTCTGAAGTCCTCGTATATTCTGCTACCCATAGCCAAGATTTGCTTCCTCGGGGCCAGTGCTGTGGTGCTGCAGGGATAAGATGCCACCCACAATGCCAGCATCCCCATATGGCACTGGTTTGAGCCTCTGCTCCACTTTTGATCCAGCTCCCTGCTAATGCACCTGGGAAAGCAGTGGAAGATGGCCCAAGTGTTTGGGCCCCTCACGCAAGTGGGAGACTGGGATGGAGCTCCTGGCTTGGGACTGGCCCAGCCCTGGCTGTTGTGGCCATTTGGGGAGTGAACCAGCGGATGGAAAATCTCTATCTGTCTCTTCCTCTGTCTCTGTAACTCTGCCTTTCAAATAAATAAATGAATCTTTTTTTTTTTTTTGACAGGCAGAGTGGACAGTGAGAGAGAGATACAGAGACTTTTTTTTTTTTTTTTTTTGACAGGCAGAGTGGACAGTGAGAGAGAGAGACAGAGAGAAAGGTCTTCCTTTGCCGTTGGTTCACCCTCCAATGGCCGCCGCGGCCGGCGCACCGCGCTGATCCGATGGCAGGAGCCAGGAGCCAGGTGCTTTTCCTGGTCTCCCATGGGGTGCAGGGCCCAAGCACCTGGGCCATCCTCCACTGCACTCCCTGGCCACAGCAGAGGGCTGGCCTGGAAGGGGGGCAACCGGGACAGAATCCGGCTCCCCGACTGGGACTAGAACCCGGTGTGCCGGCGCCGCTAGGCGGAGGATTAGCCTAGTGAGCCGCGGCGCCGGCCTAAATGAATCTTTTTTAAAAAATTGCTTCTTCAAACCCACCTCCCTTATACAAAATACCCAACCGCCCCCCAAATACCCTGAGGTCAAATACCCCAAATAGACAGCTATTGCTAATAAACAACCAGTGTGTGTTTAAAGAGAAGTTTCACAAGAACATTTCATTTATTAAAATAATTTCTGTAAACTCAGCATAATAAAATGCATTTCCTTGCTTGAGTAGCACATCAAGTGGAAGCACTTTTATTTCAAGGCACCATAAAGTAATCGTCTCTCTAGGAATGCCTCTCCATCCATGTGTGAGAGTCTTTAAAAAAAACAAACATAAAAAAAAAAAAACCCACACACAACAAAAATCCTGCGTGGTGGCCTCGGCCAGCAGGAATACAGACATCAGACTCAGCTGCACACAGCTGTGTTCAACAGAACTTGTGCCGTGGGGCCTGGTGTCACTACGCTAACTCCCAGCCTTGGGACGGATCCTGATGCTCCCCTCCCCAGAGGACAGACAGGTGAGCTGAACGCCTGGCACTGAAGAGAGCCAGTGCGGCGGGGCCCCGCAGAACCCAAAGTCTAGCAGTGCCACAGTCTTGGCTCCCCTCGCCTTCCTCCTCACTTCCTCTCCTCCTCCTCGCTCAGATGGATGCTCTCCTGGTGTGTGGCTGTCAGCTTGCTCTGCAGAAGGGCCGCCAGTTTTTTGGATGTCTTTTTGAGGAATGCACTGCCCGGGTGGGCACTGTTCACGTGCAGGTACAGGTCCTCCTGGGTGGGCCCCGTGTAGCCACAGTCCTCACACACGTAGAGCTTGTCGCGGCGCTGCTTGTAGGCGTACTGCTGCTGCACCCCATGGATCTTCTTCAGGTGGGACTCCAGGGAGCAGCGCTGGGTGAAAGCCTTGTTGCAGACGTCGCATTTGTAGGGACGGATGCCTGCAAGGACAAGGGACAGAGACGTCACTCGCTGGTCACGGCTGAGTCAGAGGCTCTCACCAATGAAGCAGCTAGGAAACATCGGTGTGACCAAGGATTGGTGGCAAGGGAGGGAGCAAACGGCACAACAGAAAGACTCCACCTGACCCTGAGCAAGAATTCTGTTCTTCCCACTCTGCTGCTTTAAAAAAAAAGTTATTTATTTATTTGAGAGGCAGAGTTACAGAGAGGCAGAAAGAGAGAGAGGTCTTTCATCCGCTGGTTCACTCTCCAAATGGCTGCAACGGCTGGAGCTGCGCCAATCCGAAGCCAGGAGCCAGGAGCTTCCTCTGAGTCTCCCACATAAGTGCAAGGGCCCAAAGACTTGGGCCATCTTCCACTGCTCTCCCAGGCCACAGCAGAGCGTTGGATCAGAAGTGGAGCAGCAGAGACTTGAACTGGCACCTATAGGGGATGCTGGTGCCGGCCCCCTCCACTGCTTTAAGTTTCTCATTTTATAGTGGGCCAAGCCAACTGGGTCTTTAATGTTATTTAGTTTGAGTTTTCCAAGAAAGAGATCCAGAGAGAGGAAATGTAAAGAAGTGAGACAAATGAGTTATAGGTGAGTTACCAAGACAGGGTCCCCTCCCAAAGGCCAACCTGGGAGACGAGGGAGGACACACCTCCAAGCTGCCCTGCCCGTAAGGGACTGGGCCCTTTGTCCACCACCACCTGGCATTAGCGGGGTTCACCTTCTGCACGAGAGTTCACGTGCACAGGATACACCAGGAACTCAGCCCGGTCAAGACACAGTCGCTCCGGTTCCCGTCGTCAGTTACGCGCAGTGTGAGTTTATGTAACACACTGGTTAAATGACCTCGCCCAGGGTTTTAGGTGCTTTCCAGAGCCTCTGCATCACCTAGATGGTTTTTAAAAATCCTAACTCGCTGTTGTGGTTTGGGTAACAGCCCTCCCCAAAGCCCGTATGTTAAAGGCCTGGACCCAAAAGTCTGGATTGATGCCAGTGGTTATAGATTAACAGCGGAGGCTTGGTCGGGTGTCCGGGTGGCAGCCCAGACCCTGCCTCTCTGCTTCCCGGCTCACCACGTGATTCCTCTACACCTGCTCCACCATCTTCTGTCCTCCTCGCACGCCCACCAATGGGCTGCCCAGTCTTGAACGACGGCCCTCCAGAATCCTGAGCCTAAATAACCCTTTCCCGCATTTGTAGCTGTGCCAGGTGCTTATTCAGTTGCAGAGATGCAAAGCTCATGAACAGCCTCATTTCTCCTAAGACAGATCCAGCGGGAGGGAGCCAGAAGGCATACCTGCAGCAAATGGCCCTGGGCAGTCTAGTGTTGGAGCTGGCTTTTGGGAGTCCTGATTGTGGTGGTTTAGAGTCGGATCGGGCTGGGCCTGTGTCAGGTATGTATGTTAGTGGCAGGACAGAGACCTCAGACCATGGCCAGCTCAGGGCCAGCTCCTGGCTAAGGCTTCCCCTCAGGCCCACAGCCTGTCAAGGGGCTGAGCATCGAAGGAGGCGGCCAAGGTGACCTGTGACAGAGGCAACCACGCGGGCAGGCGTCAAGAGATTCTGGCTGAGTACATCACGCACGTGTCTGGAGCATCTGCTGAGAGCAGAACGCCGTCCTAAACAGTACAGGGAAATAAACCAAATGATGAGCCACCCATCGGGAGGTCTGACTTAATACGGCCTGGAATCCTGGGAAAAGGTGAAGATCGCACTTGGGGGGCGGGTGTAGAGCAGGGGGGCCCACGGCAGGGGCCACCAAGAGGAATCCCAAAGCCCCTCACAGCCCTGCACCTGCTGCAGGGATCCCAGGCATCCCGGCTGCAGCCAGGGAGCTGCATGTTCATCTCCCTCTGTTTTCAAAAAAGCAAGTCATTCTTCAAATCCAAGTCATATATCCCCAGGCTTAAGGTGAACAAAACAACATTGAACTAGAAAATACAAAACTAAAAGATTACTCTTTCATCCCACGTATCTTTCCCTCCCCTAGTCTCAACTTGTCAGTGGTTCCTTGTGATTTCTTCATGTTGTCTACAAATTATCTACAGGCATATGGATTTAAAAACCTATTCACTTGCTCTGGGTGTGGCCCAAGCAGGAGAAGGCTTAAAACCTTCCCCAGGCCGGCGCCGCAGCTCACTAGGCTAATCTTCCGCCTTGCGGCGCCAGCACACCGGGTTCTAGTCCCGGTCAGGACGCTGGATTCTGTCCCGGTTGCCCCTCTTCCAGGCCAGCTCTCTGCTGTGGCCAGGGAGTGCAGTAGAGGATGGCCCAAGTACTTGGGCCCTGCACCCCATGGGAGACCAGCATAAGCACCTGGCTCCTGCCATCGGATCAGCGCGGTGCACCGGCCACAGTGCACCGGCCGCGGCGGCCATTGGAGGGTGAACCAACGGCAAAGGAAGACTTTTCTCTCTGTCTCTCTCTCTCACTGTCCACTCTGCCTGTCAAACAAACAAACAAACAAAAAAACACCTTCCCCAGGAGATGCTACCCTGGGCAGGAAAGAAGCATTCTCATTCTGAAGAAATGCACATTGACATGGGCCCCTGCGTGGATACTTTCCTGAGACAGAAACACGAAGCTGGGGCTGGCGCTGGAGCTTATAGTAGGTTAAGCCTCCATCTGCAGGCCGGCATCCCATATGGGGGCCGGTCTGAGTGCCTGCTGCTCCTCTTCCGATCCAGCTCTCTGTTAATGCTCCTGGGAAAGCAGTGGAAGATGGCCCAAGTGCTTGGGCCCCTGCGCCCACGTGGGAGACCCAGAAGAAACTCCTGGCTCCTGGCTTTGGATTGGCCCAGCTCTGGCCATTGTGGCCATTTGGGGAGTGAACCAGCAGATGGAAGACCTTTCTCTTTGTCTCTCTCTCTCTCTCTGTCTAACTGCCTCTCAATTAAATAAATAAGATATTTAAAAAGAAACAAAACACAAAGCTTTTCCTGAGCAGATCGACTCTGGGTAAGCCTACAGCCTGCCACCGAGTCCCCACCCGTGCTATTTGTCATCTCAAACCACAGCCAGCGATCACAGCGCAGCTCGAGCATCCCTAGTCCCAAGTGCTGGGAACCAAAAGTGTTTCTGCTTTTGGATTTTTCCGGACTGTGGAATATTTGCTCAGCCACACATGGCCCAAAGGAGACTTCTGACAGTATTGTCAGTGCACCTGTATTTTGACTGCTGCCTGTTACATGACGGCAGATCCCATGGAATTTTCCACTTGGTCTGACGTTGGCACTCAAAAAAGTTCCAAATTCTGCATCATTTCAGATTTTGGATTTCATGTTAGAGCTGCTCAAGCTGTAGTAATGTTCCTATTGCTGTGGCTCCCTGGGCAGTGGGATTACAAACTCCGACCCTTGTTCTTTAGAACATGCTAGGGCTGGCGTTAGGGTGAGCTGAGCAAGGCACTTAGGGAACAAAAGAGTCACTAATCAGCTTCAACAATACTTGAAGGCAGTATTTTTTAAATAAAAATTAATACTAAAAAATACATGATGAATAAGTTATCAAAATTTCACATGAAGACAGGCCCTGACTGCCATGTCAAGCCACACTGGGGCTGGCAGTGAAAGGAGGATGTGCATCCTCTGTAGATGTTCTTGTGAATTTAATTTTAAAGTGTATTTATTGGGGCTGGCGCTGTGGCGTAGCAGGTAAAACCTCCACTGGCAGTGCCGGCACCCCATATGGGCGCAGGTCCTGGCTGCTCCTATTCTAATCAGCTCTCTGCTATGGCCTGGGAAAGCAGTAGAGGATGGCCCAAGTGCTTGGGCCCCTGTACCCTGCACCCACATGGGAGACCTGGAAGAAGCTCCTGGCTCCCGGCTTCAGATCAGCTCGGCTCCGGCCATTGCGGCCATCTGGGGAGTGGACAGGTGAATGGAAGACCTCTCTCTGTCTCTCTGCCTCTGCCTCTCTGTAGCTCTGCCTTTCAAATAAATAAATAAATCTTAAAAAATTTTTTTTGAAAAAAAAAAAAAAAAAAAGCTAGTGTATTAAACTCACATCTTAAAATGAACAAATATTTTATTAATACCCAAGCCAGAATTTATCATGATTCTAGTACCCCTAGCTCTAATGGAAGCAAATTTATCAAAAGAGATTTTCAGTCTCCTTTTGCCCTTGCGGCTTCTTCTGGGGAATTTTCCTTGTTGGTGCTTACAGTTCAATTTCCTTCCTTGTAGCAGCACTCTGGTGTTCTGCTGTGCAGCCATACCCAGATCCCTTACTTTAAAGGCCTTGGCGAGGTGGCATTTGGTGCAGCAGGGGAGCCACTGCTTAGGAATCCCGCATCTCGGCTGGCGCCACAGCTCACTAGGCTAATCCTCCGCCTGCGGCACCGGCACCCCAGGTTCTAGTCCCGGTTGCTCCTCGTCCAGTCCAGCTCTCTGCTGTGGCCCGGGAGTGCAGTGGAGGATGGCCCAAGTCCTTGGTCCTGCACCCCATGGGAGACCAGGAGAAGCACCTGGCTCCTGGCTTCGGATCAGTGCGGTGTGCCAGCCACAGTGGCCACTGGGGGGTGAACCAACAGAAAAGGAAGACCTTTCTCTCTGTCTCTCTCTCTCACTATCCACTCTGCCTGTCAAAAAACAAACAAACAAACAAACAAACAAACAAAAAGGAATCCCGCATCTCATACCAGAGTTCCTGGGTTCGAGTCCGAGCTCCACTCTCCATTCCAGCTTCTGACCAAGGTGCACCCTGGGAGCCGGCAGGCGATGCCTCTAGTACATGGGTCCCTGCCACTTGCGTGGGAGACCCAGACTGAGTTCTGGGCTCCTAGCTCCAGCCTGGCCCAGCCTTGGCTGTGCTGTACATTTGAGGAATGAACAGCAGATGGGAGCTCTCTGTCTCTCTGCCTTTCATATTAAACAAATAAATAATTTGTAAAAGAACCATAGAGGCCAAGGAACCATAGCTCATGTCCCATTACAGTGTTGCGTACAGTGGGTTGACTCGTGTGTGGTTCGTGACCAGCGGCGACCACCAC